CAAATCAAGGTGGCTTACAACAGGCCGACAATAGGGAGGGGATCTCGGTACAGGAACGAGAAGATCAAGCCAGCCTTAGAGACGTCGGGTTCAGCTAAGTTAGTGGATCGAGGTTGGGTTTGCAAATATAAGAGGATACGGGCCGACTGGGTTTGGCTTCGTCAGCAGCAAAAGAAATCGATAGATCCAGCGATGGGGGCAACAGGTGGATCGGTTGTAGGTAAGAGTTCGGTGTTCATGCAGATTCTGATTGGATAGAGGATTGGGTCAAGTCGTCTGTGGCTGGTTTGCAAACAAGGGAGAGGTTGGTTTGGCTGCGCATGGAGTTAAGCGTGGAAGAGGGCTGTGAAGAGCGAATTTGTGGGATTTGAGCAGGAATCGCGTGAGGGGACTTGAGCAGCGTTGAACAGGTATGAAATTATGGGATTTGCGCAAATTTTTTTTTCTTTTTCTTTTTCGGCTTTTCTGGCTTCCGTGGAGGTCAACACCAACCCTCCTTTACATGACCCAAAGGGACCAAATATATCTTCCAACATACTAGGTATCACTGATTGATTTAAACAAAATATTCCAATATATTAATTATCAATGACGGAATTAAACAAAATATATTGAAATTACAAGAAATTGAATGCATGCCCACACAGTATTTCTAAAACAGAAAGCAAAAAAAAAACAGTGGAATCAGGATACAAACCATGTCACTCGATCCTTCCCAAGTAGTGCTTGCTGTTGTTTCAACAATTTTATCAGTAATAACATTTTCACTTGATGACCTGCAGGCACTAAATAAGAAGAAGATCACTAAGTAAACAATCACATTTACCTGTCCAACGCTCATTAAAAAACAAAAAGAAGATTTTATTGGTTTATCGCTATGACCCATCAGACTCATATGCCCCCTACTGAAATAAAAACTAAGGGGCTGTTTGGAATCATTTATTATTTTTATTTTTATTTTTTTAAAATATGTTTTATTTGTATTTTTTAACTATATGTATATTTTGTTTTTAAATACACAAAATAATTTTCAGTATTTTTTTAAATGAAAATCACCCGACCATCGTCTAGTTAGTCATCGATCACCACCGCCGCTGCCACCATGGTAATCTGCATCCGCCTTATGCAATATTCAATAAAACTAAAAATAAATTTTATTTGGGATACCAAGTATATTTTTATTTGTATTAAAACATATTAAAAATAAAATAAAATGATTCCAAACAACCCCTAAAGTTCCCATCAATGAAACAAATAAGCAAAAGTATTTTTTGTTGAAAAGTTCCCCAACCAAACAATAAAGTGAAAACTAATTTCAATTCAATTCCTTAGATATTTTCATTTCCATTTTCTTATTCGATTTCCTCTCTTTCAATTCCTTCATGCTAAACAGAGCCTGCATTTATATTAACATGATGTAAAATAATTCTACGCAAGCAGAAGGGTAGATTGTCACCTTTCATAGATTTCCTCTGCACATGAATTTCCTGAAGATGAAATGTGGTCAAGGTCAAGGAAATTTGAAGAGCTCGACTCATCAAATCTAATTTGATGGAAATAATCATGTTCACTATCTGCAAATAGCTGCCTTCAAGAGTGCACACGCCCAAAAGAGCAAATGAGGTTAGGGTAATTGTGAAATGATAGATTAGAAAATTTTGTTAAAAATCCGGCAGTATGAGCTACATAAAAACATGGAAAACTGAACAAGAAACCCTACAAAAGATAGAATTTTTAATATATTTCATTTGCTTTTACAGTCGAAAGAAATGTTAATATAATTCATTTGCTTATACACTTAAGATATAAAAATTACTTGCATTTTGACTTCTAACATAGAGCACAAACAAACTAAACCCAATGGAAAAGTTTAGAATTCACTCCGAAAATCAATTTAGTATTATTTAGTGGGTTTGTAACAAGTTCAGAAATTCAAAAATCTGAGAACACTAACCTGGAATATGATGTATCCCTTCCACAAGTAGGAATATCGGGTGTGAACTCAGAAAGATCCCCTTTCTTGGCATCTATTGGCAAATGAACTTTTTGGGAATTTCCCTCTTCTACATTTGAGCTGGAATCAGTTGTGCTCTCACATACCATATTCCCTTCCGACAGAGACCTTTTAAATGACCTATATGAAACAAAGAGAAATCGGTGCCAACATATTACCAATTTTTTTAAAAATACAGAAAGGCTATTTATTTTCTTTAAAATCTAATACGAACTTTGAAGAAATTGCTTGAACATACATGTTTAAAGACGGTGTTCAATCATATCGTGTATTGGTGTATGCTACATACATTAAGAAAACTGAAAATTAGTTTGGATTAAAATGCCAGTGGCAAAAGTGAAATGCTGAAGAGGAGCTTTAAGAAAATAAATAGCCTGCGTGCAGACGGCTAGGGATTCGGGCTAGGATCCGACCTCTCGATCCCGACCGACTGTCGTGCTCGTTGACGTAACCTCCAGCGAGACCCAACCTCTGCCCGCTCGATCCTAGCCCGAAGCCCTAGCCGTCTGCACGCAGAGATCATCGCCGGACTCGATCCGCCTGCCTCCGCTGGCCGTGCTTCTTCTCCGAGCCCAAAGCCGACCCGACTCCAGCCTCCGTGCTCGGCAGTTAAAAATATAATAATAATAATATATTACATTATTATATATATAACACAGGTGTCGTGATAAGGAGCAGAAGATCAATTCTGATGTCCATTTGCTCCCTCAGGCTAGGCGGACTAGAAAGAGCAAGTGCCCTACCTAACTTCCTCTTATGGGGAGGGGGCACCGAAAGATTGTTGGATTTTTAAGAGAAACAAAATGGTGTTTTAAATTAAAATTAGCAGGCCGTCCATATTTGGAAGATCATAAGATCAATTATGGAGTCGATTCGCTCCCCCAAAGTCCCGAGCTGATGAATCCTATTTGTTTGGGTGGACTAGAAAGAGCAAGTGCCCTTCTGACATCCCTTCGCAGGGAGGAGCACCAGAAGGTTTATGAAATATTAAACAATCAAAGGACCCACACATAATTATGATTGTGATTTAATGATATACAATAGCCCTTTAAAAACTCAAATTTAAATCATATATTTATCAATCAAAATTAACTAGTATATGTTAAACATCATTATAAGAAGTTGATATTTTGACTACCTTGAACCTATTGAAAAAGAGTGCATCTTTCTCACTTAACTAACTACTAAAACTTTTGAGGAGAGCAATGCTTTTGTAGGTGTATCTTTCCCATACATAATACTTGTACATAACACTTGTTAGTTTGAATGGCAGGACAAGGCACTTGAAGTGCTTGAAAAGGCTAAGAAATTCATACAAGTAAAATGCTATAGAATAATATATCACCTCAGCCTAGGAAATGTTGAAATAGAGGAAGTTGGATTTAGCACTCTGTTGTGCCAAACAACTATAGCTATCACTGATCCCTGGTCAGAAAATTTGTGGAACTGTGATTACATTAAAAATGGCGGTTCTGGAAAAACATATTTTATATGAGAACCAGAAATTGGATATGTTAAAAATGTTGAAATTAACAACAGGGCTATTAATGATCTCTTTTAAGTATCTTATATTTATAGAGGGCATATTGCAAGTATGATGAATCCCCTACAAGCAAAATATAATGAGGCAGCAATAAGAATGACACATTATCTACAAGCAAGAATAATAAGCCTCTGATAAATGCAAGCATTTATGGGCAGTGACAGAAGACTTGAAACACACGTAGCAGACTCACTTATAGGCAATGTTGGGAAGTATGCACTGACTGTAATCCACATGTATATGACAGCATATGACTTTTGAACGTCTGCTAATAACATACAAGCTAATCCAACAAAGCTTGCATAGCTTGCTAGTTCACCTATAAGACACAATGAACGACCCGTGGCACTGCGCTACAACCCACCTGCTGGCAATGTTGGAGAATTTATGCTGAATACAATCTACCTAAACGTGCCAATTAGTGACTTTTGAATGATCACCATTTGCCAACAAAAGTTACATTGCACAACAGCCAACCTTCGCAAAGTAGCAAATGGCTTGTAGCACAGTGCCAGGTCATCATGCCAAATAAATCAGTCTACTTACAAACGACAGATGGACTCCTTGTGCGTCATGCAAAATGTTTGTGTTGGCTCAAGAAAAATGGTGCATCGACATGAATCCTGCTTTGTAGCTGTAGGATTTCATTTTTCTTAAGTCAGATTATAGTTAACTAGATTTTTCCTGAGGGTAGTGTTAGGGTTTAATTAGATCCGCGTTCTTACTTTTTTATAAGCGCTAGCACTCATAGTTAATTATTCATCTTAACACGTAAGAGAGAACTCTTGATTAAGGATAAATAATTTTAAATGTTTTAGTCTCAATTGTGGGGGAAAATAGAGGTAAATTCGATCAAAATCCTATGGTTTTGGCATCCTACGTATACCAAAGGTTTCAGCCCATCAACACGAACAATTATTGACCGTAGTATCCATGGAATCTGATTAGCAACCACATGTTTATAAAATCGATGAGATAGTGACTTTGCAAGCCTTAATCGAAAGTTCTCTCTTTATCAGGAGGGGTAATTAACTATAGAGGCTTGTGCCTATAGTAAATCAGATCATAAAGTCCTCGCAAAATGAGGGAGAAATATTGGTCTAGTGTCTTATCTTAAAACCCAATCTGCCTTCTGAAAATTTATCCCGAAACCTAAACTTGTTAAACCTTTCTTCTCCCACATAAATAAATTTAAAAAAAAAAAAAGAGTTGGCACGAAGAGGCCGGCCCACAAAATTTTCGGTGCCCATATTTGATAGAGATTTGCATGTTACAGGAACTAGATGCTTACCAACACGTTAGGCATTTAATAAATAACTTTTTATTGAAAAAGTTTTCATATTTCAATTTTCAATTTTGTGTATGCAAGTTGAACGTATGATTCCTTCAAGTGTAGTTCAAGTAAGGCTATCTAATATTTAATTTCTATCATATTCTTGTGCTAACGAAAGGTCTAAATTTTCTTCCCTCTGATGATCCCATTCATTTCTCTCTTTTGTTTAATATTTACTTATTGGATTTAGATTTTTTTTTTTTTTTTGATCAAATTTGATACATTTTTTATTTCAATTGTAGTGTTCAAATTTAATTGCTCGTAGAATTTATGTTGTTCAATTCTCTCATTGATTTCTCTGGATTTATTTGATCGTTGTACTATTGTTAATGTTATAATTATCATATTTTCTATTTTGCAACTAAAGAAAGATAATACTTGTATAATTATTGGACTTTATTCTACTTATCTTATTCTCTTTTGTGTGATCTACCTTCATTGTGCCATACTAACTACATTAGAAAACCAAACCATCATGCATCATTTGATCTTCTTCTTAGGACTTCAAAATTCCTTTTAAAATTAACATTTTGAACTCACTATCTCATTAAAATCTCTAAGATTGCAGAGTACCCATAATAGAAAATTTTTTTGAAGAAAAGCTTAGTTCAAATCAAATATTCAGAATTCGTTGCCCCTTAAAGGTTCTTCTAACAACTTCAAAATTTCTTTTCCTAATTAATATTTTGAGAACCTCCCAGTTTTCAGTGAAGTCTCACAAAAAATACCAACAAACAAGATAATAATAACTTAAAAGTAAGAGTATCCATAATTAAGGGAAGAGCAACTTTAGTTATCACTACCTGGCTTTTTCCTCAGCAAAGGCAGGGCCATGCCTTCCAACATTGTAATGCTGATCAGAATCAAGCTCCCACAGTGCTGCTTTATCCTTTTGGGGCTGGAAGTACCCTAAGAATCTGTATTGTTGAAAAGTCCATGTCCACATATAAATATAGTTCACATTTAATAAAAACATGTTAAATATGAAATGGTACAGTTTTGTTGAGTGATGTTTTAAGTGTCAAACATATTCTTTACAAATAATTTTGATCAAGTTTTGATCATATGACCTTAGGTCTTTTCCTATTTCTTTATAATCCTCAAACACTAATTTTGTTTACTTGTTTAATGAGAGTGTTTTATTCCTTGCATTATGGATGTTCATAACATATAAATCTAATTGTAGTTCCCTTATCTTCAATAAAATGTCATCGTGAGCTTGGAAATTCATGCACTAGTTTTGCTGAGAGAGCTCTGTGGGTTTCTCATTTTAAGAAGTCAGATTATATTGCAAGTAAGACACTACCCAGAGATTAGGTTACGGAACTTTTAAGAACAGATTCTAGGTTTCTTATAGGCACAAGCCTTTATAATTAATTATCTTACCAGTAACGAGAGAGAACTTTTAATTAAGGCCTAATTATTAGATGCTAAATGCTTAGCATATAATATCAACAATTTGATTTTAGATTGAAAAAATTACCGCCTTAAACTTAAGGTGGGTGATGGTAAGAGGATGACGAACATCATCAAGATTCAAAAGTTTTTTCATCCTAGATTGTCATAATTTCTAGTCTACTTTGCCAAAGAAGATAGTCAACCCAACTTGATCGAATGATCATTGTTGATGGTTGTGGATTGCTTTGTCTAAAATGACTTTATAGACTTAGGGCTGGGGTGTATGTTTGTCAAAGAAGACACATTTAACTTGACCTAAACTAATAGAAAGCTTTTTTCCCTAACAAATCCACCATATGATTCACAAATCAAGGTTTTTTAATGTCATTGATGAACTTGCAAGCTATTGTCATGATATTTATTTGATGGTGCTATTTTGCTGCAGAATCAATTGATCAAGGAGCCCGAGTCATAAATATTTACATGTGGCATTATTCAGCAACAAAACCACCTGTCCTAGTGCATGTCCTATACCCTTACTGATGAGGACATCCGAAGATCAACGGCTACAATCTGAAGTTTATTTTATTTTAGATGTGTCTTATGTACGAGTTTATCTTATATTTATGTTTTTCCCATTTTACCCCTAAGGGTGGTCATGTGGTGTTATAGTCCGAAGGGCATTTTAGTCTTTGTTTCTTTTCTTTTCATGTGTATAGGTCAGCTCTCTTGTAATTTGGGGATGATAATTATTGATATGAAAATTCAGCTTTTGCTCATGATCTTTTTGTGAGTTCTAGGGAGTGGTGGTGAAGCCTAGGAGAGGCTAACGAAGTACCCAACAGCCCATCGACAGGTGAGCTCTTGGTTTTTATCTTCTCTTTTATTATCTTTCTTTTCCCCTCCCCTTCTCTCCCCCAAACACTCGGCTGCAGCCCCTCAATTCCAAGCCGACCACCCATCACCCCTCCTCCCTTCTTCTCAAACCCATCGCTCCCCACACCCGCCCCCTCCCACATCCCGCCGGCTCCCCAGCCCACCACCCAGGCCCGCCGGAAACATCCCAGCTCCCTTCACTCGCCGGCAACCTCCTCCACCCCATAGCCGTCGGCCACTTGTTTTCCCTCTCATATTGTGATCTCAATTTCCCATTAAAGCTTTCCTAATTCAGCCCCACTAATTTAGGAGTAGAATTTAAAATTCAAATTTCAAATTTCAAATCTACTCTCAATCAATCCTCCTATAATTTAGGAATAACCCCAAATTACTTAAAATCTGAAATCAATGTCATATTTAAGTCCTCAATTCCCCTTAATTGCTTGGGGCCCACATCATAATACCCAACCCCTCTCCCTTCCTCTCTGCTTGGTCGGCCCCCATAAACCCCAATTAATTTAATTAGATCCCGTAAATTAGGGATCTAATTAACACAATTCCTTCCTCAAATTAATCCTCCAATCAAGTCCGTAATCCACCTCAGCCCTAGCTGCCCTCTCCAAGCCCCTCTTCTCTCTGATTTCTCTCTTTCCCTAGAGATTCCTGCAAGTTGTCCACGAAATTCTAGCAATGTGCCTTGCTGTCCAACACCCTTGGGAGTTATGATTTGTTGTCTTGAAGCTCCTTACACCCTATAGAAGTTGTCCAAGGCTTATCTAAGCCTTATAGTTTGTTGTCCAGATTTCTGGATAGATTTTATAAGCTGTCCAGAACTTTCCATTGTCAACACTGCTGTCCAGAACTCCAAAGATTGGGAAAATTGCTTTCCATGTTGTCGGGATCACTGTCTAGAGAATTCTGCACTTCTCCATTGTTGTCGAGCCAGCCCAACTATTGTCCAGCCCTTCTGGAGTCCACGCCCTGCTATCCAAGAACTCCCAATCCCTCCTAGGAGTTGTTCAGGCTTCTGAAGGATCCCGATTGCTATCCCACTGCATAAACAACCATCGTCGACACCAAAGCTTCGTGTCATATGCTTCATGTGGGTAAACTTTTCCACCAAACTCTCTTATCTTCCTAGTTCACTTATCACTTGTGGTTATATGTTGATTCACAAAAGATTATGCTAATTGTTTCCCGCTAAAGCTTAGATAACTAGAGAGTTGAATGAGGGACTCTTGCATAGTGCCTAATCTTATTGTTAGCATTGGGATTTATTGTTGAAAACCATTCATGTATGCATTGTTAGATTTAAATTGACTATTTTACGATCTTAACTCTTATGCATGTGATTTAGCCTAAGCTTGTCTTACCGCTCTTCGTGTTTTATTTTGTCGTTTAAAATTAATATAAAGAAATAATTATTATGGCTTCTAACATTAAGCTTGAAATTTCTTAATCTATTCATCCTCGCATGTACGTTTCACATCACTTATTGGCAAGAGATTGTTTGAGAGTAAATCATAATTGCATGCTCGATAAGACATTGATACTTTTTTGGCAAAGGTTATTCTCAAATTTGTCAATATCAATAAACAGTTGTGAATGATAGATTAGTTTTTCTTTTAAATTATAAGGGAAGGTTTCACTTCTGAATATTTACATTTTAAAAATTTTGAGATATTTATGCTTTTCTGAGATTAAGGCTCAAAATAACTTATGTTGGGATTTTGGGGCATCTTGATAACCACATTCCTTTCATGATGAAATTTTCTTTGCACAACCATCATTGGGGTTTAGGTCTTATCAACTCCTATCCTTGCGAAGAGAAAGTCAAACTTGAAATAGAGGACTCAATACCATGTTCTATCGGCAAGGCGACTAACCTACTTGAGAAGTATTATGTAAAAATAAGGGCATGAATTTGTACTTAAAAGAGAGTTTTGAATTTAAAAAAAATAGTTGCTCGTTTAAAAAAAAGATTACACAATCTCAAAGTGGGGTGAATTCAAATTTCATTATATTTTAATTCTTGCAGCATTTTCAAACTTTATGTTTAAGCATTTAGCACATTTGTAGCACATGCAAACATTTTAATTTTTGTGCTCCACCACATTTTTTTTGCATATGTAAGACTCATTTACACATTTGCAATGCACTTACGTGATGTACTTGTACATTGTGCAATTTTCAGTGCACCTATATAGTGTGCTTGCATGCTTCTTAAGATAAGTCAAATTTAAGTTTATTTTTATTTTAACACACATGCATCCTCATACTTCAATAATGCATGTAGGTGCATGAGTACTTAATTTCATCTAAATAATGCACGCATGTGCTTAATTTTGAAGTTTCGCATCATAACTTATGTGTCATGATGATGTTGAGGTGAGACGGTAAAATTTGGGAGATTCGAAACACACAAAAAAATATTCTCTTTTTTGTTTTATCTCTTTTCTTTTTTTCCTTTTTTTTTATTTTTTTGAAAACCTCTCTTTTTTTATTTTGGTTTTCACTATTTAGAGAAAGAAATGGAGAGAGGATGGTAGAGAGGGAGTAAAAAGAGAGAGATGGAGAAAGAGAAAGACAATAAGAGGTAAAAGAAGAGAGATATAAGTGAGTAGTTTTCCTCGGAGCATTGATCGTCGACGAGGTAGAGGTTGATGGAAAGGAAGCTATTTGTGGGTTGGTGATTCAATATTTTGGCTATGATTGATCGAATTGATTGCACGAGGTGCTTTCTTTGGCGATTTCAATGCTTTGAATGCATTGATGCAACTCATTCTCAAATGGGTGATGTTTGAGCTACTTCTATTATGATCAAGGTATTTTAAGCCCTGTTTGCACGATGTCGCATTAGTTTGTTATCACCCCTGCGTTCTCTTGAATTGGTCATGAGAACATACATAGGCAACAATCACTCAAACTGTCCATCTAATATAACCATTTATTAATCTATCATTCTTAGTTTTGTCATACATCCATATTTATATTCTCACTCTATTATGATCAATTCAAGTATAAATAATCTTTTTACTAGCCAATAGAATGATATATACAAAATTTTTAATCTAATTGAAGTTTTATAAGTTTACCATTGATGCTTGATGATATCTTCTTAACGCATAAAACTCCTAAAATACTTCTCCAATTTAAATTTTTTATCATCCAAACTTATCTATAAAAGTTATATTCTTACAATTAATTCCATTATTTTGTATGATAGATCTAAAATATGTAAATCTATTACACCTAGACATCACTTTATATTAAAGTTTATCATACCTACAAATAATAAAACTATAATATATTGCTAACATAAAAATGAAAATATATGCCTACAAAAATGGTAACCTACTATTTAAAAGTACCCTAAAAAATGAGCTAAACAATAATATTGGATGCTTATCCAATTATGGGAGAAACATGTACTTCACTTAAGGTATAGACTTAATGCATTCATTATAGTAAGAAATAAATAATGCATAAGATTCTTAAACTTGCTTGACACTAAAGTGTACAAAGGTAAAAGCACAATCACACTAACATTCAAGCTTATAGCTTCAAATTATTTTAGTAAATCTTCAACTGGAGGAAAAAAACATCAGAGTGATGGTTCTAAGAAAACTATTCCACCCATTAAAAAATATTTGAAGAAGTTATAAGAAACTTACACATTTATGGCATCTTGTTTGAGTGGATCGATATATGTGTTGTTGTAGTATCTCTGAACAGTTCTAAAAAATTCTTGAGATTGGGTAGCTGCCTTCCATTGACCTCTTCTATCACAAAATATCTGCAATTACACAACATAAAAAAATATGTGATTAAAAGGACGAATAATATATGAACATAATGACCATTCACACAGCTATAAGGATACAAATTTAATAAACAAAGAAAGAGTCGAACAAGAGAACAACATCAATTTTTCATAAAATGAAGAAATATTTTTAGTAAAGCAAATAATGCTAAAAACCATTTACAAAAAGATCTTTGACATCTTATCTAGACAAGTAAATAGTGTAAAAATATGAAATATTATATGTTATGAATGCGTCTTATTTAAAAATAATCTAGTAGCAAAATCCACTACAGGAACATACCTTATTATGAGCAGCAGAACCACCATATTGTAAAGCAAGCGTGTCACCCATCTTCTCATATAGGTCCATCACATCATCAGATAAAGGGGAATCCAACCCAATAACTGGAATATCAATAAATCCCAAGAGGTGCAGCTGCTGACAAAGGGCAGCTAAACCATAGGCAAATTGAGCTACATTTGTTCGGTCTAGACAATCAATACAATTTGTACGAAGGACACCTTTTTGAAGCAAAGGTTTTTTCTCCAAAGAACAGGTTTGATCCACAATGTTTTTTGTTGTCTCTCTCCTAGAGAAAGTACAGTTTTCCTTGTTATCTTTCTGGCACTGTTCTCCAATGATGATAGAATCACAATTTTTTCTATGATTATTTATTGATCGATTGCTACCATCTCCACTCCTACAGTGCATGACATCAAAGAGGGGAGATTTATTAGAACATTAAATTTCTAAGAGCATTAGAATCAAATAGGTTTTATTATGTACTAATAGTAGTTAAAAGAACATATGCACAGAAAAAAATTAATGAAGGGAGATCATTCAATGAAGCATTTCAAATAAAGTTCCTCAGAGCTAGAACACAAAATCAGTGAAAACACTGTTAAATTCCAAAAATATATTCATACCTCTTTCCTCTTACAACTCCTATTGTTATAAGCTAGCAAAAAAATCTAGAGAAATCAAGAACATTCTAGAATCCTATTTCAAACTTGTAACAAATTAATTAACATATGCCTAAGGAACAATTTAACTAAGATGCTCTGCATCAAAAAGCTTGTACGCATTACTAGTTCTGTATTGTATCCAAAGTGAGAAGCAGAAAATGTCATTGAAAACCCCTCAAAAGGCTCACCTAAGAGAATATGTTCATGAAAACTGGAAATGATAAAAGCAGGAAGACCATATTTCAACGCAATGTGTCATTCAGAGATATGTGATAGTAAAACATAATCATAATTAGCCATAATGTGTTTAGTAGTATGACAAAGGAAAATACATATACGAGGAAAAAAACAATTAACTAGACAAAAAGACAAATCTATTTATGCATGACCAACTCCAAGGATAAGGGAAGAATAACATCAATATTCATTGTTAAAGGATGGTATCAACATTTACAGGACTTACACAAGGAAAGATGAGCTCATGGCTCCAGGCAGTCTTAAAGAAGAGGAAAGTTGACAATAGAAAAAGCCTGTCAAACTTAAGGCATCAGATCCAAGTTTCACCAATAACTCAAGAATGTTTGTAGCTCTGCGACAAGTGAAAGTTTATTTATTTTGAATAAAAAGTTAGAAATATGTGTAACATTTTCATTTGAAAAACTAATCAATATTGAAGCACCTCTGCGAATGTTGGCTAAGATCCCAATGCAAGAATCTTAAATGATTTTCAGCAGGGAGGTCTTTGTTTATGAAATCAATGGCTTTTGCAAATTCTGAGCGGAGAATAGATTCCCGAGGCCGCCTTTCATACGTCTGTTAATGGAAATATTAAAAAAAAAAAAATCTATGACACTAATGCTCAAATAGAATATATAAAAGATGAATTTCAACATACTTCAAGAAATTACAGTGCAATGACGAGTTACTGAAATTCACCTTGATAAGGTTGAAAATAATAATAGGATTTCCATATCTCTTGACAAGATTATCAAAATGAAGTCGAGTCGCTTCATATTTTTGATCTTTCTGCACTGAAAATGGGTTGCATGGTCATATAACAATGGAATTCATTAGTTTAGTAAGCTGCAGTAATCAATTACAAATTTCAAAGCTTACAAATGATATCGGGCTTCATATTTAGCCATGAACTATCTTGTGACCAAAAAAGAGGAATGGATCCCCTAATCTGCACTATAGAGCTTATCTGGGTTGGAGAACCTCTAGCATTTGCATCAAATACAATCTGCTCAGTTTCAACTTCATTTGCTACTCTGCCTTTCTCATTGACACCACGCTTTAAGTACCTAATTTAAAAATGACAAAATAATCTTCAAATTTTTTATAATCATAGTTTACCTGTATTGAAAATCCCTATAGGTGACTAAGTTTATCACTATATAGGAGCTGAAACTTTGGCTTCGTTTGGGACGGCTTTTTTATTGCTTCTTAATGCAGCTTTTTAGTACATAATTTTTAATTTTTGTAATAAAAAGCTGCTTTAAGAAACAATAAAAAAGCCGTCCAAAATGAAGCCTTTGTTAAAGTAGAACCTTGTGCCAGCATAATGACGAGAGCGCCTAGCAATTAGCGTGAACATAAAATCTTTCCCAGACACCGATAGTTTAATCTGAAAATAACAGTGAACAAGAAAGAGTATATCTTTTTAGTGAAAATGAGTAAATAAACTAACTAAAAATAAATGAATGACACAGCATATTAACAAGAAAAATATAAATCCAATATTGAACAAACATATCTCATTCAAGCCAAAAACTTGATAATCATGTGGGTTAATTCAGATAAAATAAAAAAAGGCAGAATAGCATCATTATATATTACCCAAACCTTCAGAATTAGCTATAACAAAAGTTTTAGCTGGTCATTATGTGGGTATGTTGAAGTAGAATGTAAAATAGTCAAACCAGATTTAGATCTTAAGAAGAAAAAATAAGTTTTTATGTAAAACATAATATCTCTTGGAAGAAATAAACAGATTAGGCTCTTACAATGATATTCAGGAAATGAGTAAAATCAATAAACTGTTATTTCAAAGAAGTATATCATATGCAGCCTCGAATCCAATGAGATTCTCAAAAACATTTTAAACATTAATGCTTCATATATTGCATGCTACTCAACTTATCCCAAAATAGAAAAAAAAAAATCATACCTGTTTAAAGAATCCATACACCAATGCAATCGACCATATTGTACTTTTTAGGTGATAGCGAATTCTGCGTGTAAGGAACTCATTCCACACAAACATCGTTTCATACAGAATGTCCCCAGACTCAATGTCACATAAGTTCCTCTGTAGACTACGCATTATGTTGTATGAATAACTAAAGAAGAAGTCTTTTGTAAGATCCACCATGCAAAGTAGCTTCTTATATCTGTGCAATCAATAAAAATTTAATGGATGAATGAAAACTTGATATGTTCTCTGAAAAAAAAAATGATAAAATAACCTAAATTTTTATCAGCATAGCTTAACAAGCCCCAAAAGTATGAAGTATACCTTAGGGAAAATGTAGCCAATCTGACATTAGGTACCATGATTTTATCATCTAGTTAACTGGAATTGCAATTCAACACAAATTTTACTAATTAAAAGGAATATTTAAAATTTTGCAATCACTTATGTTTCAAGGAAAAAAAAAAAAAAATTAGTGCAACATTACTAAGACAAGATTTTAATGAAAAGTAGGCATATAAAATGGTTATATTAATGAATAAAAAAATGATATATGAAAAAAAAAAAGAATTTGAAACTTGCAGTGCCGCCTGCACTGCTAAAAACTAGTAGGAAGTCCTCATAATCAGTGTACTTGTTTAAGAGAATAACAAAGTATTGTTCTCATAGCATCAAATTCATTTTTGATATCTTCTACACTAAATGGCATTTTTTTTCAAATACTACCACCACAAAACAACCAATATTTATTTATAGACCAAATTAGCAAAGTACCTGTCCTCATGCTTAGATAATGCCATACTATGCCGCACAGAAGAATTTGGAATTGCAATCATTTCACTCTTAGAGATGGCATAGACAGTGTGGCCACATATGGAACCAATTTTTCTCCTTTTTGTAATTAGCAACAAGTAATAAGGCCCCAAAAACTTCACAAAACCTGCCATAGTAACAATAAGTTGATGTTTTGCTACATAAAGTGCAACTTCTGATAACAATGATAATCAAGAATTGAGAAAAGTTGAAGGGAACTCGCCAATAATTCCATAACATTGCGTGACAAATCTGAGCCCTCCACTTGATCTGTTGCCTTCATCTATTCTCTTCAGCAAGTCTTCACATTCATTTTTCTTGTAGATTGTGGGATCCTCTTGCATATTGAGCTCAGAAAGTTCTTGTCTGTCGAGTGACAAAACTCTCCAGATTGTTCCACTCTTGTCCCAACCAATCATATAAAATTTCTGTTGCACAGTAAAATTGAAGGAATTGAGGGAGTACTGACCAAATAGCAAGATAAGAATTCACTAACTGCAAAATGATGGAAGTTAGGACCTAAAGGACAGCATTTACTAAGGAAATTAGTATCAACAACTCTTCAAACACTAAAGAAGATTGAACGATGTAAACAACAAAAAGAAGAACTTTACAATTAATTGTTTGCCTCAAATGGTAAGAACATCTATAAAATGAATAGAACAAGAGAGAGTAAGAACCTGAATGATACACCTAAAGATGAATACAAACTAAAAAGGGATTAACTCTCATACGAAAGACTAATTTAAAAAAAAGGCGAATATGAAACAAAAAAAAGAGCAAAAAGGGATAGTTAAATGAAAATCTATCATAACAATTAGAATGAAGGATCCACTGAAAAAAGGGTCTCCAAATAATCAAAATCAAGCAAAAAACAGAGATTATCAAAAAGAAAACATTTAGTATTAAACAGAGATTATCAAACCAAGATCAATCAAAACAAGCGCAAACAAACAAATCAGAATTACTGCACTCAGATCAAATGAAAGGACCAAGTACATCAACTTATATGTTCTTGAGAATTCAGACAAAACAAACCGAAGCAGTCCAGAACAATACAAAATCGAGAAAATAGATAACTACACTCACCGATCGAGTCTCATAAAGTTTAAACTTTTGCAGATAGAAGTTCTTAGCGCCGGTCGCCGCTGCTCCGGACAAATCTTCCCCATCCCCTCCCGCCGCCATCGGATCTCAATCCCGAGCCAGACTCCGGCTCGGGCGTGTCAACTCAGGCTCGCATCAAGCCGCCAACAATCAGCTCAAACCCTAGATCCATGTTTGGCTGCTTTAGATACAGCATTTCAGCCGCCTTAAAGCCTGCCGCTTTCTCGAAAATAAGAAGATTTGCAGATCGTAGAAAGAAACCAAAAAGCAAACTTTCGTCCTCGAATCCAAAGAAGAAGAAAAAGAAGACAATTCGAAGGAGGAAAAGGTGACCGTAACGCGGCGCTAGCGAAGGATGAGTCTCTACTCTCTTTCCACAAAATTGCTCGAGTGAAAAACTGGGATTGCAAATGCAAAAATGTCTCTTTTCTTTTTTCAATATTTTAATTTATAAGCTCGACAAGGAGATGTTTCGCGGCAGCACGTCTCCTAATTCGAAAGCTGCAATTTCCTATGGTCCCTCGAAGGTCAGCAGCACATCATCTCCATGTAAATATCATAATATTGGAAAATTTGTGGTCAAACTGCGAACTTCAGTTGCCAACTATTTACCGTTGCGCCCCGCAGTGAAAGCCTATAAATAAACGCGGCAAATTCAAACGTTATGGGTCGATTCGGTTAAAAATCGGTCTTATGGAGTTCGCCGCCGCCTTATCCACTAATAAGTGGCTCGTCACCTTGTAGCAAAAGAGTTCTTCCTTATTCATAAATGTTATTTTTTTTTTACAATTAATCAAGTTTATCTTGATTTGATGATAGTTAGAGAATGCATCAAAGAAGCTCATTACTGGAAAGTCAACTGCCAAATCAACCAATGTGTTGATTCTATGCCGAGTTTAAGTTTTGTAAAATGGATAAATAATCTCTGCTCGCCACTCACCTTTTGTGTCATCATGTTCGAGAACCAATCAGGGTACTACACTTTCCTCAACCTCAAGGAGTTTTTGCATTGCTCGCCTTATGAATTTTTCTGATATATTAATCTCCATGAATGCATCATGACTAACCTCCCTCTTTGGTCAAGCTCCTCCTGGACGAATTAGTCTCATGTCCTTTAACTATTTAGTGATAGGGGTGTAATCGAGTCAAGCCGAATTGCGAGTCAACTCGGACTCGATTCGGCAACAGGCTTGACGAGTCAAGCTCAAACATGATTACGAGCTCGAGCTCAAATAGAGCTCTGCTCGATTCGTCGGTTTAACGAGACGGAGGTGACCAGGCGGGAAAACAGAACTTGGTTTGGCCGAGCGGGAGGATGAATCATATCAAAGACGAGCAGGAACATCAAAAATGATGGAGTTTGGTTGACGGCGGAACTAGGGACGATGATGGAGTTCGCATGTTGCTCGACGGTGGAACTCAGGATGACCGAGCTCGACGACGTAGCTGAAGACGACAGAAGTCGGAGGCTCAAAGCTCGAGTGCTGCTAGTGGGGCTAGCCTGGTCGGGATGACGAGCTCGTGGCTTCGATGGAGCTCGACAGAACGATGTACAATGGAGCTCGATGGTCACGGAGCTAGGGACAACGTAGCATGGGATGACGCTCGACGATAGAGGTTGGGAAGGAGCTCGATGATCCACTTGACGTGAGACGAGTCAAACTCGAGCTCATCTTTTCAGCTCAACTCGAGTTCGAGCTTGAGCTCAAGCTCTATATTTGACACTCTAGCTCGACTCGAACAACCCCTAACTCAAGCTCGATTGTCTCCTTCGCACCCTTGTTCAACAAGCCCGATTGATCTCTGCAAATTGTTTCAATTTGCATATGTGAGGTGTAGAAAAGAAAAGTGGATTTACCTCTTTGAATTATTCAAAGAAATATTTGTATTTTAATTTACAATCCTTTTCTTTATTTATTTATTTATTTGTATGTTCTGTCAAGTTAAGAATTATTTTGGAGCTGGCAAACGCTTAATATATAAAGCATTATTTGGCAAAGGTAGGCTTCGGTCCTAACTGTTTTGGCAAATTTTATTTATTTATTATTAAAATTAAATTAATAATGATAAAGTAGATGGGCAGATTATATTTCAATATTAGCACTAAAAGCGATAGGCTTATAATTTCTCATTATTAAACAGATACTAATGTAAAATGATTGGGTGGCTCCTTTCTTTCCTCATTGACCTCACAAAAAGCGATAGGCTCATTAAATAGGAAAATATTTATGACAAGATGTCCACATAAAAATTTATTAGGATAAATTTTAAAATTATTAAATATAATTTACAATGATTATTGATATATCATCAAAAAAATTTTTCGGCCGGGCACAATCTCAAGATAAATTTGAGTTAAAGATTTTTTAAATTAAATTCGGGATCATCTGAGCTCTGATTTCAACAACTTATAGTTCAACTGAACGTCTTGAAAAAACAAATCCAAAGACATCAAATTCAACTCAATCCGAGCCTAGATGGACCCAAATCGAAGACCCGAAACACATTCGGAAAGTTCAAACCATAAATTAGATTATCAAAAGATTTCCAAATATGACATGCTTATAGTTGAATCGAGCAGCTCGACGACGCGAATCCAACGAGTCTAAGATCGCCAAATTATGATATCATTAAGATCCTCAAATGTTCAATAAATAGTCTATGATCGAGGTAATCGATAACGACCGTATATTCAAAACACTCCCAGCATGCCCTGGATCTTCTCCCTATTTATTGGTCATGTCACTCCCAAAAAAACTATAAATATATCCCTCATTTTTTATTCAAGGGGAGCTATGCAAGGAAGAGAAGAAAGAGAGAAAAGAAAGAGAAATCATAGTTCACTTGCCACTAGATTGCTCCTTGACCACCGCCCGGCCACCGACTGTCATCGGATTTCTTTCCGGCCATCAACATTTGCCGGAGTTCCACCTAACCACCATCTATCATCAGACTTCCACCCAGCCACCAACTAACGCTAGATTTCCACATAGCCAGCAACTAATGCTAGATTAATGCCCGTCCACCAAACACCATTAGGCTTCTGTCTGATCTCTATTCATCGCAATATTTCAACCTGATGGTTAGACTGTTGTAATATGATCGTCCTTAACCTCAAGGACGAACCGATCATTTATAATCTTTTTAAATATTAGTGAAATCATTTCAATTGGACGTGGCCCCATGGTTTTTCCCTTCAGGATTTTCCACGTAAAAAAATTTAGTGTTTATGTTCTTTTTTTTTTTCTATTTGTGAGCTGGATACTCGTGCAACACTAAGATCTAAAAATTGATACTTTACCACCATAAATATTCTAGCCCACAACAGTTTGACGCCATTTGTAGGAAACTCAATCCCACTATTATAAGCATTGCTTCAATAGACAACAAAGGTAGCAATCATAATATGGGAACCTCTCGCTCCAACACACACCAATCTAAGAATCATTATATGAACCAAAGACACTAGACGTTTGCCTCTTTTTACCCTTATGGGCGCAATCTTGCGGGGGAAGGAACATCAGTGCCATCCTTGAAAGATCACATCAATAAAATGGACGAATCTCATATTGAAATCCTCTAACTTCTACGAGAGGCTCGATAATCAATGTTAGCATAACAAGAGTATATTCTACTCCCTCGAGTTCCATTACTAGCCAAGGTTGTTCAACATGAACATCTTCATGAATATATTCCTCTTCCTCAATCAAGGGGTAGCCCAAGGACACAGCAAGACATCGACCTTGTTGGCATAGCTAGCTCTACTCATCGTTCTTATCTCGATCGTCCAGCCTGCATTCCTCCAAACGTCCCCAAGGACTTAGCCCGAACGCAAGTTGCTGAGCTTTCACGTAATGTCCTACATCATGAACTGCGACAATTAGTTCAAGAAGAGTTCCCTATAAGAGGTGGAAGGCAACCTCTTCATCAGTGGAATTTTTAGAAATCATCACCCCTAACTAAAGACATCATTCAACATCACATTCCTATAGGATTCAAATTACCAAGCATAGATTCTTATGATGAGACTTCTAACCCTTATGAGCATATCGATCGCTATAGAATCATCATGCATATCAAGCAAGCCTTAAATGCGCTCATCTGCCAACTTTTTCCAGCTACCCTCAAAGGGTAAGCTTGAACATTATTATATTTGCTTCCAACCGAAACTATTTGTATGTTCGACAAGTTGGCCAAAGTGTTCATCCGATAATTTGTTACTAACCAAAGAATTGTTAAGGATTCTTATCATTTCTCTAAATTTGTCAGAATTAAGGAGAATCACTTAAAGAGTACATTCAACGATTCTCCATCGAAGCTCGACAAATTTTAGGGGAGGATCCCGAGTTACTTAAAAGGAGTTTTCTTGGACGCTTTCGTCTTGGCCCTTTTTGCTCAATGCTCATTTGAGACACCGTCTATTCATACAATAACCCATAAGCATCGAATACTTCAATCTTTGGAATGAGGACATACCTTAGATGGCTTCCCCTGTAGAGGACCTTACTTATATCCCCATATCATACAATTATCCTTTGAGAACGATACAGATTGGATCATTGCTTTTAAACGAAGAGAAGGAAAAGAATTTAGATTTTTTATGTATAAATATGGATATATTTGCACGGAGCACAGTGACGTACCTAGAATCGACCCTGAAGTAATTGTACACTCTAAAAGTAAACCCGACTTTGAGAACGATATAGATTGGATCATTGCTTTTAAACGAAGAGAAGTTTTTCGCTTTCATGTATTGACCAATTGATCGATACTAGGTCTAGACATTAGATGTTGAGCTTCATGGACGCCTACTCTAGTTATAATCAAATAAAGATAGATCTTGCATATGAAGATGCAACTACTTTTCAAGCAAATAAAAGATTGTACTACTACCCAGTTATGTCGTTCGAATAAAAGAATGTTGGAGTCACATATCAATGCCTTATGATACAAGTTTTAAAGTTCTTATTGGATGCGCTATGAAAGTATATGTCGATAATATGTTAGTAAAATATCTTGAAAAATCACAACATATGTCTAGCTTGGAGCAATGTTTATATCTTCTGTGACGTTATAAAATGCAACTCAACCCTGCCAAATATGTTTTTAGAGTCGCCTTAGGAATTTTTTTTTTATAGTAACACACCATAGGATTCATGCTATTCCTGAAAAGATCATGACACTAAGAAACATGGTGCCCCAAAGGAATATCAAGAAAGTCTAAAGACTGAATGGAAGGATTTCACCGTTGTTTACTTACATGGCCCTCTAAGGGGACAAATATCTATCCTTCCTTAAGATACTCAAAGTTGCTCATAACTTAGGGTTCCAATGAACTGATGAATGTCAAAAAGATTTCGATCAACTACGAAAGTACTTGCCACTACTGCCTCTGTTTTCAAAACCAATATATTGAGAGAAATTATATTTGTACCCGTTTGTTTACCTTTGCTAACAGCTTCGTCTACGTACTACAGAAAAATGATGTACAATGTTCCATCTATTATGTTAGTAAGATTCTATTCAAAATAGAGGGACGTTATCCACTAGCAGACAAAACAACATTAGCCTTAGTTTATTCAACTAGAAAATTACTCCCCTACTTAAAGCTCATACAATTGTGATATATAGAAATCTTTCGTTGAAGAACATCTTACAAAAGTTAGAAGTGTCTATCAGATTAGTAAAGTAGTCAATGAAACTAGGAGAATTTGACATCCAATATATGCCCAAGCCCAATACCAAGTCTCAACCACTTGCTTACTATTCATATATATTTGTTTTACTAACTTATACATATATCTTTCACCCTCATTAGTATATAATCTATTATATAAATCATTAAAACTAAAATCTTTGCATCACATATTACTTTCTTATTTTTATTATTATGAGATTTTTACTATAATACTCTAAATACATTCATTGCAATATTTTGAATATAACTAGCTACTTTTTTTCACATAACATTAGCTTCTTCATATACAAATAAAATTTTAAAATCTAATATCTTACTCTTAAAAATATTTTTGTTAGTGTTATTTATCCCCCGATCTAATCTTAAAATAAAATTTTACTTTATTTTTTATATTCATCCATTCATCTTAAAGTCCAAAACTAATAAGCGATGTTGGTACAAATACTTTCATTAGAATAACTTTACAATCTTTACAATCAAAACGATCTATTTTTTTTTAAAGAAAATAATCAATATCAGATTTACTATATCCATTCTTATAATTGATGAGATGTTAATTTCTTTTCTTAAATAAGATATTAGCTGATAAAAATCATAAACTTGGGATATAATGAAATTTCTTAGTAGCTATCTCATAGCCATCATGAATACTTTTAAAATTATTTACCTCACTACCAACAAGTCCATTTAAATCTTCTCCAATAAATTGTTTCCTTAAAGATATATCTTTTATATTAATTTTTTAAATCATTCCAAAATTTTAATTTTAAACATATATCTAAACTTACTTGAAAAGCATAAATACTTATAATATTAATAATATTAGCATCAATAATAATCTTTAAAACTATAATTTTATCTACAATTCTACTAATTTTATAACATTATCATTTAAACTCTTATCTATAATCACACATAAATCATTTTTAGTATGACTCATACTAGAATATCATAATTTAAATCATAAACTATAAATCTCCTTAGCATTCTCTAAAAACTATTTAGTTTCTTGAATGCATAGAATATTTATCTTCTTAAGAATCATAATACATATTAATTTCATTAATTTGCCAGTAAGAGAACATATATTCCAAAGTCTTATCCTAATTCTAATTTAAAAATCTAGCTTCTATGCCCATATCTGTCTATGATGTGAGAACCCTTGCCTATTTAACACTACACCTAGGTGCCGATGTAATGACTATTGCATGCTTCTCGATGTATTCAAGTCATACAATGCATTGTAAGGATTCATGTCATGATTATTAGACAAAATTTATACTAACTATCAACTACCTAATACAACTCTCCACTTTTTTCATCCAAGACTTGGGACTTGACAAAAACAATTTTAAGTGAAATATGAAGAAGAAGGAAAAAATTACACGGCCCAATTCATAGCATCGTAGCACTAGGGTTGGAGTGCCTTTGAGCTCCAATCTCTCTGTCCCTAACCCAAGCTTGAAGCATTGTGGCTCTCCAACATGCATCGCTTGAGTGTTGTACATACATAACAAAAAAAAATAAAAAATAAAAAGGAATTTGCCTCCAACACCCCAGTGAGCTCCTTGTCAAACTTGATCGACGGATTAAGGTCTAATTTAATAGTATAACCTGATTGATCGACACAATAAGATTTTGCACAAAACTAACATTAAAACACTTTCATTTTTTAATTATAGAATCAAATACCTTTGCTACACCAAAACATAAGACAACAGTCATAATTACAAAAGAACAAAACATTTGAGAAGAAACTTCAAGCTATCCAGAATGATATCATTGATCAAGGAAACTGCCACAAAAAGCTAAGAAAGAGATGGCTAGTTCTAGGAAAGGCCATGATGATAAAGTTGGAGAAAGCAGTGGTCTTCGGCGAAGAGGTCCAGTGATATAGGACTACAATGCTTGAAGTAATTTGATAAGAGCTTGTACAACTTATTGATTAGAATAATAACAATTAGAACTATTAGCAAAAATAAAACGAAAAAACAAAATGTAAGAGCAGTCACTTTTGTTTAGGTTAAGTTGCACATCAAGAGCTTTGAATCATTAAAATAACATAAGAAATCAACATCATGCAAATATAATAGCTTTCAACGAAAATCCCTAATCTAACAATAAGATTATAAAAAAATGAAGTGCATTCAATTCCCTGCGTTTATTAAGCTTAGCAGAATTAGGCGAATATGATCTTCATAACTAAAATCTAATCACAAGAAAGAGGATTAGACGAAGGAAATACAAGAAGAGAAATATTGGAAAACCTTCGTCAAGGCTCGGATGTAATCCTCCACTGTACGGTGCCAAGTTGCTTTTCAATAGCCTCAACCAAGGTGTCAAGGATGCGTTATACATACTCTTCTACGGTGTAGTCGATGCACGGGTTGACGTCGAAGAAGGTCGAGTGAAGAATGCAAACAAATCCTTATTCGTTGTAGGAGAGGTCGTAATTAAGATCTGGATCGGCCATGCATCGATCTTGTTGCGTCGAGTTATGGACGAAAGTGCTCTTTGCTTATCCTTGTTGGTTTCCCTTTGAGAAGTGACTCTCCAAAATCAAGCAAGAGGATGGACGATGGAGTTGTCAGCCAAGGTAAGAGGATAGTGGTCTACTTTAGTTCAGATTTTCAAGAGATAAGTTGGAGGGAAATTGAACTTTGAATTCCTCTAATCAAGTCCCAACTTTGGAAATAATTAAGTAAGAGAGGGAGGGGTGCATGTGACTAGATGCGATGTATCTTAGGTTAAGGAAATAATTAATCAATCAATTCCGATTTAAATTAATTGATTTAATTAAAGAACCTTTCCCGAAATAAGATTAATGGAATAGGAAAGGATTTAATCAATTAATGCAGATTTGAATTAATTGATTTAATTAAGCTTCTTTCCAAAAATAAGATCAAGGCATTAGGAAAGATTAGGGAATTAAATTTGAATTATTTCCTATTCAAATTCTTTAAAAAAAATTGATTGGGATAAATTAGGAAAGTGGGGATTTAGGAAATAATTCAAAGAGGGGAAGAGGGGTGGGGGGCCGGTGGCTTGGTGAAGAGGGTGGGCCAGCAGTTGTGGTGGTGGTGGGGTGTCGAGGGGAAGGAGGTGTGGACGGTGGGAAGAAGGGGCCGGAGGTTCAAGCGTCGGGTGGAGCTTTGGGCCGTGGGAGGGTGAGGGGAAGGTGGAGCCGGCGGTGGTGGAGGGGGAAAAGAAAAAAGATAGATAATAAAACCATGAACCCGACTCGTTAAGGTTGGTGGGTGATGCGCAATTCTCCCTCTTCTAGGGGTCTCACTCCAAACTCTCAAACTCTCAAGAGAACTCAAACAAAGATAAGAAAAATTTGCAATCAATCATTCATTCATTAGCTTCAACAGAAGAACACTAGGGCTATAAATAACCTCGTACAAATACTAAAAAAAATTAAAAGGACGACAATACCCCTAGGGCTTACATAAGACCTCCCTTAATAAAAGGTTATAACGGGAAACTAATAAAGCAAACTAATAAAGCAAATACAATATGACATCATAAATAAGAGAATACATAAAACAACTCAAAAATACAATGACTCAATCGTGGCCGTAGATCGACGGCCACGTCTCTGATAGACCTTCCACGATCTGATGTCCCCGTCATCCTAGCTCAGGTTGATACTAATAGAGGACCGGGAACGTTATAAAAATCAGATTTTAACTCAATTTTTAGAGGAGAAATAGAGCCTACAAAACAAATGGGAGGACATAAATTCTATATTTTATATCAAATAGATGCAGATATGTTCTATACTTCACATCACATGCTCCAAACAAAAAATCTATCGATGCTCTATACTATTGGAACCAATTCGGACTCATAGTATCACAGAGTATTTGTCCTCCTCCATCACAGCAACAACGGATGGCTAATTATTCAAGGATGATCAAAGGAAGTACACAGAATTCCCTTTCCTAGCACTTCTCATAAAAACTTAAAGGGATGGTTCATTATATTAAAGATCTTAGCCTATCAGCTGGGGTTTGGACATGGCTTCTAGTGATGTCTTGCACAGTGGGGCATCCTGCAAGTGCCATAGTATGCTCCAGCTCATTTTTTAGTATCCCAATGACATTTCTTACCCCCAGCTCTCCCTTGGCAGCCAATCCATAGATAATTGGCCTCCCAACCTGTTAAAAGAAGTAGAAATTAGTCAAAAGCACATAGAAGCATAGCAAGTTCTTCGGCCGGAAAATAATAATAATAATAATGAAAATTGTCATATATCAAACCACAACGAAGCATCATTGTCAAGTAACTTCACTATTGAGTAGCTTTTCAAAGATTGAAGGCTAGAAAATTAGTTTTGTTTCTGATCATTGAAGTATCATTAGCCTTATCCTAATTAATTTTGGAGTTAACTTTATTAATCCTTTCTTATCCATTTACTCTTATTTAGTGCTACATTTAACTCAGAAGTTCACATAGTTGGCTTCATACATTTTCTAGCAATGATACTTCAGACACAAACATTTTGTCCTATTACTTTGGGGCATCTTATTTCCTCCATTGTACATGCCCAATTCACAATCTTATTTCTACCATTTTATTTTCAAGAAGTTCTACTCAACCCTTCCTAAAGTTACCACACAATCATATTAATAATTTCTTGTTTGTTCTAGTCAACTTAATTGGCAATTGCTTCTTGTTTACCCAACAATAAAATCAATAAAACCTAACCAATTAATTATAGTTCTACAAAATTGACAATGAAGTAAAAAATATTTTCTTGTCACATGATACACTTGAGGCAATTCTCTATTTTAACCCTCCTAATTTAACTCCATAAATTATTTCCTCATCTATAACTTTATTTTTGTAAAAATAGATCAAATGCACTATTATCTAACGATCATTAGGGCCATCCACGATAACAAAATTTGATTAGAAAAAATGAAGCATACCATTACAGCTTTTGCGCCGAGGGCTATAGCTTTGAATATATCTGATCCGCGTCGGACGCCGCCATCAACTAGGACAGGAACTGCACCAGAAACAGCTTGAACTACCTATTGATCAGAGAGAGATAATTCATTAGTCAAAATAAATAATATTATTAGCTATTCACTTCATGTAGATGACTATTGGCTAACAACAGAGGATAAAAATAGTTTTTTTAAATTTTGAAATGGATAATATTTCAGTCACATGAAAGGGAAACACTACCTCTTCCAGGACAGATATTGAGGCCGGCACATAATCAAGCTGACGACCGCCATGATTTGATACAACTATTCCAGAGACTCCCACTTCTACAGCCTTTCTAGCTGTTCACATTCACTTTATTAAATGAATAAGATTTGTTCCTTGTGTTTCTAGGAATAAAAGAATAAAAGAACCATGTACAAATAAAATTTACCATCTTCTGCAGTAAGAACACCCTTAATCAGGATTGGCAATTTTGTAATAGATTTGACCCATCCAATGTCCTGTCAGCAGAGAAGTATCGAAATGGGAAATAATTTCGAATTTGAAGAAAGAACAACAGTTTAACAGCTTTGACCATCCTAAAAATAGATTTGTTCAGAGGATGTCAAATTTACTTAACAGAGAAATTTCAAGCTATTGTTTTCCTTTTTGTTTCTTATCTATTTTATTTTTTGGGAAAATTAGGGGTCAGCCCAATTCATTCAAAAATGAAAGAAGAATTACAGTAAGTAAAAAAGTCTGGTAGCACAACAAAAAGGCAGCAAACACAAAACCCTATCAGCAATTAGCTGCTTAAAAAGGAAAGCTATAACAGAATTGAGTAAAACAAAAAGGACTCAGAAATGCATTACACTTGAAGATCTATTTCAACATAAGAAAGAGAAAACAAAAGAAGGGCAACTGGCAATAATTAGCAGGGCAGTGGAAAAGAGAGAGAGAGAGAGAGAGAGAGAGAGAGAGAGAGAGAGAGAGAGAGAGAAGGGGTTAAGAGATTTGGCGAATAAACGTCTCAACAGGACAGAAAACATTGGGTAGGGAACAATAAAGTGGAAAGAAAGCCTATGAGGGAAGAATCCCCGGAAGAGAATGTAAAAATAATCCATTCTTTATTCAGCTCTGAAAGATAACAGGACTCGAGCAATATTTATAGATATCGGCTTTATTGTTGGTTTAATTGTCATTTTATTAAATTTACCTTTTAACCTCCACAGTACTTCTAAAGCTATTTTCAATTTTAACTACTTTAGTTTTAACTTCAGAAATTATAACATCATCTACATCTATATTCTTTCATATAATAAATCAAATATATTTATATAAACCTAAGTCTACATAAAATTTATCAAAATACATCATTAAAAAAGTCAAAAGCTAAACCTTTAATGAATAAGTACAAATAGTTGCATTATGCAGTTGATTTTGAGCCATGAAGTTTACAGTAAAGTACTGAGCCCCTGCGAATGTGGCAAGTGCTCATAGGCATGCACGATGTGGGTAGCCACATGGGCTCCAAGCACAGCATATGCATCTGAGTAACATCGCCATACTCGCGTGGGAGGCTTGCTGTGCAGGGCCTGATCATTTCCAAACTTTTAATATTCTCAAATATGGTAGAATAATAAAAGAGAGTTTCTTAATCAGTTAATCCATACCTTCCAGCTCAGAGAAGGATCAAGAGTTTCATTTGCGAATGCCTCAAGATTAGAACCGCCATCCTGCATTCAAGAAAAAAATCAAATAGAGGAAAATTGAGTAATGCAGATAATGATCTATAATTGAATTGAGCAGGTAACTGTTAGGCCGGCCCCTCCTGGGCCGGTTGAACCGGTCCCTAGTAGACCGGTTTTAACCTACATTAGGCGGCCCAAGTGCTGGGCGGAACCTGGGAAGGGAGAAAGGGAGGGGTTGGCTGATGCTAGGGGACCCACATGCTAATTAAAATTGCTTGGGAGGGAAGAGATTTTGAATTAGGGGGGCTGTTTAGGAAATTTGTAATTGCCCTTTGTCTTTAATTAGCTCTTTTGAAGAGGGTTAGGGCTTCATCTTGAGATTGACTGACTTTTGAGATCTAGGGTTTGGTTCTTTTAGGCAATAGGCTTTGCTAGAAATTTGAAGAGTTGTTTCTTCCTCTCGAATTGAAAAAACTTATATCTTGTTTTGTTGTTCTTGTTCGTGGTTGAATACAAGTTATTTTCCTTGGTTTTACTCTCCAATTTCCTGAAAAATCTGCATCATATTGCTGATTTCTCTCTGAAATCAGCAGATTTCTCGCAGTTTTCACCAATTATTGATAGGTTTTCTTGCGAACTCAAGCAGTTCCTCTTGGATTATTTGTGAACTCGAGTATTTCCTATCAATAACTCGGTTCATATATCTTTATACAATAAGGGATTTTTTGTCAAAGAAACAAGGGCTTACTTGCTACGACATCATCTTCTTTTATCAAAACAATAAAATATATTTCTATATATCTACATTATAATAGGTTTGGTGGTTCAAAGCTGAAACTATTGTCCCTGCTTTCAGAGGACAAGGCTGCACAAATTCTTACCAGACACTATGACAGAAGCCTTGTACACTATTTATTCCTTTTTTTTATAAAGGTTGATGATGTGGGAAGTCTGCAGTTTGACAAAAAGTGAAATCAGAAAAAAAGGAAGGTTTAGAGGGGTGCGGATTGATCATTTAGGAGGTGAGACCTTTGATCACTTAAGCTTTTTTTTTTTTTTTGGGACATTTAGGTCAATTAAGGCAAACTGACACACACATCGCATACACAAAGACTCGAACTCAATACCTCTTAGTTGGTCGCCTAAGATCTCAACCAACAGGCCAAGTTAAGATGTTTTGATCACGTCAGCTTGAAACAGTAACTGCTAGAGAGAGAAATCTGCTCAAAGGCCATTACTTCTATGGTAAATCACACCCTCAAATCGTCATCCTTTAAACCCCATCCCTCTCAATAACTGAAACTGGACTTTCATTTATTTTCCAAGCTAGGATTGATCGCAAATTCTCAATTGCTCTATTGTGGGAATCAGCAGGTATCCTTCCACAACTAAACACAAAGAAGTCTTTCCAAGTACTGACCCATGACTGCTAAGAAGTATCAAGTTACAAGTTGTTTCTTTCAAAAATAAAGTTTATCAGACATGCCCTCAGGTAAGTCAGGTCACTGACATGCCGCATAGCCAAGAATGAATTAATATGCATTAACTTCATTTGCCATATCAGAGCTTTTCATGTAAATCGAAAAAGATGTTTTTACACTCACAGCATTAGCATCAACCGACAATAGACCCTCAAGGTTCGATATCTTGGGCGCTTCCATCCTGCATAAAGTAAGAACATAAGCTTCACAATTAGCAGTTTCTAATATTTCATAAAATAGTAATAATAATAATAATAATGAATGAATGAAGGAGCCCTTTGTATGGAAGTCATTGGGATAGTGCTTAGAGAAAGGAGAAATGCTATACCTATTCCATGTGTCTTAGCATGACAAGGGAACCTTAGATTAGAAGCTAGAGGTGGGTATTTGCAGAAACTAGAAATATAGGCGAGTGCTTTATAAAGTTAGGGAAGAAAGATAGAAGTTTGGGTAATTATATGAGAAACCCTAAATAGGATAATTTGTAACATACATTATGATTCAAGGCACAAATACTTTTGGCATTCCCCATCAACCTCAATAATATGCATAGTATGCTCCAAGGTTCCATAAAATTGAGATCCCAACAATGATCATCATCATTATCGTTGTCCCTAATAGCAATTTTATAAAACATATCTTCAACCCCCTAGTTGCAGTTTAATAAAATGTGATTCAAGCCCCTAATTGTTGTTTTATAAAACATATCTTTAAGCCTCCATGATATTCTCTTAACATACAAAACTCCCAAGATAGTTATTCATGATATACTCAAAGATATTTAAATATATCACACGTATGTATCACCTTATATTCTATAATATTGAATGATACAAATTAACATCACACAACCTAAATTATATTATATACTTAGTATTTATTATACTATTTCTAAGTTCTTTATCTTTTAAAATTTCCTCAATTGTTCTTATTACTTGTTTTAGGGGATTTTACTAATTAGAATTAAATAATCTCTAAAAATCATACACCAAATCATCTTACTTTGAATATTTGGATGGAAAGCAACCTAAGAACTCAACTACAAGGAATAACCAACAACGTCAACAAGCTCACAAAGCGGGAAACTGATATATTTTCAAACTACAATGAATGGATGGGAGGCAGAGGCCAGCTACCCAACATTTTCTCTAGAAATATAAAGGATGGCTTATCATAGCATGAGGATATGGTTGTTTAAGATTTGTTAAGACTTTCCATTTATTTGGATTATCTAGAAATATTTGTTCTTTGTTTTAGTCAATAATAGGATATCTGTTAATATATTTTATAGGTGAACATGAAAATATTCTACAATATATTCTGCCATCCACCTTCGATAAATTGAGAAGTATATTAGTCATTTTATTTAAAGAAAAGTTAACTAAATCTTAATTTCCTTGATGTTTCCTCGCCCAATTGTCACCACCCAAGTTTCTATCTCTATTACCTACATGGAGAAAATATGAAGGCCTTCTAACATCATGGCAAATCTCTACTCAACAAAAATCAAGTTCTGACCCTATTTGAAGCTCCTCAAACTAGCTTCTTATCTACCCAACAGAATAATGTGTAGGCCTAAACTTACTTCATAAGGTAATCACATGTAGTTAATGTGGATGGCTACTGCTTTTTCAAGTATCTTCCCTTAGAATACTAGTTAAATAGATCATATCAGTAGGCAGGATCCCTTTTTTTAGAGAAAAAAGTGTCTCTTACATAGAACTCACATAACAGAAATTACAGTAGCACACTCTAAGGATCAAATTAAAGCTTAAGTTTAGCTCACTTATTTTTAATGTCTGCTTCCCTCCGTCCTATTCTCGGAGTATCTACAGTCACAACAATAGCTTTGAATCCGCAGCTCTCGGCTCTTTGTACAAGCTTTGCTGAAACATCTCTTCTCTTATATACCTATAAAAATTGAAAACAAAAGGCTAGCAAATGAAAGAGCGAAAAAAAAAGCTTGGAACATTAATAAAGTGCATAATCAGAAGGGTGTCGTGAAATACTGCATACATATAGCTGAAAGAAACGAATAGCGTTGCAGCTGGAAGCAACCTCCTCGATGGTGCAGTTAGATGAAAATGATAGCACCTGAACAATTGTGAAATTAGATAAAAATAACAGCACCTGAAAATAATATCTTAAAGAGCTGAAACTTACCATTATCGTATTGCAAGCTGCAGCAGCTCTAGCCGTCGCCGCCTCTCCTGATTTTGAAAAGAAAAAAACAGCATGAATAAGACACACATTGTATGATATATTTTCATATAGATCATAGATCAAGACCTTCAGGATGTGCAAGCTTATGCCCGCCGGTAGGCGCAACAAGTATGGGAGAAGATAATTTGAATCCGAGTAAGGAAGTTGACATATTTATACTACTCACATCTAAAAGAACCCTTGGATTTAACCTGTGGACAATTACTAGATATTGAAAAAATCTCTTGCAATAACAAAATTGGAGTGACGGTAAGATAAAGTTTTACCTTATTCTTTGAAATGCCTCAACATTCTCTCTCAATGTGAATTCATCCTCGGCTCCTCCCCTAAAGTAATCATAGAACATCTTTGGCAAGGCTTTCCTTGCAAGTTCCTCAAACTCCCTCACATTTGTTAGACCGATTTCCATATTTCCTGCACAAACTATCGATCAGTTTGGTACCCATGGGTGAAAATTAGAAATAAAATTGGCAAAAAATCCCTCCAGGAGTAAATCCCCTTAAACCAAGTATACTATCAATACAATTGGCATGTTTCTTCAGCGTATAAAACAGCTTAACCAAAAGCTAGAACTGAAATTTTTTATTAATAATGAGCGAGCACGATCCTTAGCAGACTCAGATCAAATATGGCTCAAGAATTGACTTCCAATCATCCCTAACAAAGTAAAGCTAAAAAGGAGCTTCATTCAGGACTATCAAGAAACAGTTTGATTTCAAAACTGATCAAAACCAGTAGTTCCGACATGGATCTTCCAGCTCACCACTAAAACCATTGGTTTCATCAGTTAAATTTTAATCTATCATGGGCTAAGCCCTCATTTCTCCCAAAAAAAAAAATTTAATCTATCATCAAAAGACGGACAAAAAAAAAGCTCAGTTCTTTGACTAGGAATGTTGAGACTGAGTTACTCGTGCACCAAAATTGTACATACAGAAATCCAAAGCATAGTATGCCCTAACAGAACAAGAACAGAGAAAGAACTGATCATCTGAAGCGAGAATGAAGCAGAAAATGGCAGCTTCAAGTGAATCATACCCGCTGTTAAGAGGACGGCGATGGAATGAAGACGGGAAGCGAACTGCTACGGTAGATTTTACTACTTCAGCAGGTCCACTATAGTTCTTCAAAGCATAATCCAAATCTATCACTTTCAAAACATATTTTCTTTTAAAAAGAAGTGATTTGGTCTCGTAAGCATTGATTGGAAGCTAATTTATAAAAAGAGCATGTCTTTATTATCCGATTTTTATTAAAACTAGTACTCTGTTTACCTGTTTCAATAGAAACTGGTTCTCTATTAACCGATTTTAATTTTTAAAAAAATCTAGAATACATAATTCTCGTTTACGTTTTCTAAAGAAAAAAAAAATTCAATCAGATATTTTTTTTAAACAATGATTACAATTTAACTTTTTCTCTCTTTTTTTTTAATTTATAATGTTACAGTGTTTTGTTTTTTTTTTTAAATTATAACTAATTAGGAAAGTTAAATAAGTTTAATGTTACTTATTTATTAAAATTTTTATTAAAAAATAAGTTAAATAATAAAATTAAAATTAATGAATAAAATTCAACTACTAAGTCCTTTTTAAATTTTTTTGTTAACATGCCCCTTAAGCTAATTTAAACATAAAACAAGCTATTTTTATAAATTGATCTTGATTGATGAGGTAGATTTGTTTTTTCCAATAATACGTTTATGATTTATGATTTATTAGTTTTATAAATGCTTTTTATTTATTTTAAATATGAAAACAACTTTATTATATTTTAAAAAAAGTTTTGAAAAATTTATGAAATTTGAAGAAATATTAATGATTAATTTATCAAATAATAAATTTCAATATTTCTTAAATCATAATTTATAATATAAGTAACCACATAAGACCCAAGAAATTATTATATTTAACAACCATTATACTTATTTATTAAATGAGTAATTATTATAAAAATACATATCCTAGGTAATCGTTGCAAATTGTTTTAGGCATTAATTGGGCTCATTATAAATAGAAAATTTTATTTTATTATCCCTTATTATCTGAAAAAATACCCTCTAAAATATTTTTTTTATCAAGGCATAAGCTTTTATATTAATGCAACATTTATTGTAGTTGTAAGTCTTTTAAAATTAGTTCAACATAGATCAAATTTTATTTGAACCTTAGATTTTATTTGGGACAGCTTTCTTACTGTTTTATTTGGTAGTTTTATATTAAAAAAATTTTAATTCAAAAAATTTTGTACTGTAAAGCTGTTTTAGAAAGCAGTAAGAAAACTATCCCAAATATTTTTCATCATCGCCTTGACATCATTTGAGGGAAAGAACTTGGTTTGACTCAAGCCAAGAATCCGTGTCAATAGAGGAAAATAAACACAACAGGGGTCTGCCTACAAAAACATACTGAATCATAAGCCAAAGAACAACTTTACAAAAGAATTGAAGTATTTACATAATAATTTCACACATCTACATTATCAAACCGCCATAAAGTATGCTTCTTTTAGACATCTATTTGAACATAGAGAACTTAGACTTCGTTTGGAACGGTTTTCTTACTGCTTTTTAAAACGGTTTTTTAGCTAAAAAATTAAAAATTTTATACTAAAAAACTGATTTAAGAAGCAGCAAGAAAGCCATCCCAAACAAAACCTTAGAATACACCAAGTTAATGACAGTCCCAGCCAGAGATTGAAGTAGAAAATAAAGCTTCAGATAGAACTTGTTCGGTTCTCGAGAGCAGAAGCAGCAGATTCTACTTGGCCAAGCAAGCAAGAATACACCTTTAGCTTCAACCTTTCGATTGTTGACAGTACTTCTTCCTCTTCAATACCACCCTCACTCAGTAGCTGATCAAGCCAATCATTAGCTTGTTTCAGCTGTGACAAAGTTACTGCAATCTTGTCCTCTGATTCCTTGGTATTCCCTGCAACTCTGTCCTTTGTAGCTTTCTTTGAACGGGAATCAGAATGGAATCCAGTATCAAGGGCATTTTCTAAGAACTTAAGAAACCATGACTGTGATTCTTTCAGGAGGGTGGCCCTCACACTCTGGATCTCCTTAAAACCGTCAAATGTTGCCCATTCTAGCTTTTCATTTTCACAAAGTTCTTTAGAGAGCTTGGAAGTAGTTAGCGCACTTGATTTTTCAGGTGGTGAAGTCTTTTTGTTCGGAGTATCTTTGTCTGGAAGTGAAGGTTCGGTGATATGGGAGGAGAGACTTTCCTTATGGATAATTGTGTTTGGAATATTAATGAGCTGGTATAATGTGAAGAACTTGTTTAGAGAAATATGGTGATTCTCATGTGGAGATGGCTTGCGAAGATCAGCAAATATGCTAGAAAATAGAGGAGAAATTGTTAGGATAACAGAAAACACTACAGAAGCAGCTTACGAAACAACAGTTGGCATATATTATAAGCTATGCTGAGTTATTTAGCAAGTTGGTTCATAATGTAAGCATAAAATTTCGGGGAAATATAACACTGACCAGAGACCCTTGACAAGATCAGTAGCTGCAGCTGCTTCTCTTTGAGCCTCAGCTGCTATCAGAAAAGCCAGATTTTTCCTTTTTATCACTCCCTGTTTTAAATTAATAAAAAAGTAACATGAGGGAAAGAATTTCAAGATCAAAATCAAATATATCCCTTATATTTGAATCGCTAAGGTTTCGTTTGGGATGACTTTCTTACTACTTTTTAATACAGCTTCATTTTTTGTACTAGAAAACCGTTTTTATAAAGCAATAAAAAGCTGTTCCAAACGAAGCCAAAGTTGAGCATAATATAGTTATATCTATGAAAACTATTTTACACAAAGCACTTCCAATTTCAAATCAGATAAAAGCTACCCACATAGCCATCAATCCACCTCACATTGGGAGATTTTTGATCAGTAAGTGTCGAGTATTAAAATGCATAAAAAAGGTTCACTCCAATAGAATGGTTTAGATTCCCATCATAAATAGTTAGCATATGAGATCATTTTGATATAATAGCACCCTCCGGCAAACTCAAGGTACAGAATTTTTCAATTAGAATATGGGGAAAACAATGATAAGAGAAAATAGTAAAATATTTTGTTGCCCAAAGGTTGTAAGTGTCGCAAGAGAACCACATGCGACTCATAAAAGAGAGAGAGGTGTGAATCGGATAGAGAATCAACAATGAAATCCATATTAGAGAAGGCACGGATAAAATCCTTAATCATAGGTATTAATAAAATATTGACGGAATGGTCAATGTAATAAGAATAGAAGTTACTAACCTTGTTTCAACTAGAAAACGTAAGTGGATTGAAGGGATAGATAGATCTTGCGAGAAATTGAGGAGGCCTAGTGATGGGGACATCGACAGGAGGTTTCGACGCATTTATCAGAGGCAACACAGGAGATCGATGGCAATGATGGATAGTCTTTACTTTTGATGCATTTTATGTATTAGCATTTTATGTATTAATCATGTTATTTCAGTTTTTCTGTTTTTGCCCTTATGGGTAGTTAGTCGGTATTGTAGCCCAAATGGGCATTTTAGTCTTTTGTTTCCTTGTCATTTTGATGCCTATATATGTGACCATTTTCTTATGTATGAAGATTGTTGTTGAATGAAAATTTCTACTTATCGATCTCTTTGTGAGTTCTACATTTTCCTAGTTCTCTTCGTGAGTTCTTGAGAAGGGAGTTTTGTGGATCTCTGTGTGAGTTCCGACATTCCTACGACCTCTTTGTGAGATCTTGAGAAAGAAGTAAGTGAGGTTAGCAATTCCTTGATTTCTCCAAATTTTTATCCTTCGCCAAGCTTTTTGTTTTTCCCTCCCTACATTTCTCCTTGCCGCCAGCCTCATTGGACCGTCCAGGCCTTTGGCCGCCGGCCAATTACTCCCTCCAGCAGCTGGCCCCCTTTGCCGACCCCAGCTCCCACGGCTGGCAGCCACCGTGAGCCCCAGCCCGCTGATCCCCAACCTCCCACCTTGCCGCCGGCTTCCCCCTTGATCCAACTCCGTTTGAATTTCAAATCTCCTTGATTAAATTAATTTCCTAATTAGTATTCCTCTATTTATGAAAGACATTTAAGGAGATTAAAGCCTATTTTGAAATTCAAATTCTTTTCCCTCTTATATCATATCAATTTGAAAAGTTACTTAAAATATAATCAAATCTGAAATTACAATTTCAGATTTGATTACGAATTAGCTATTAAACCTTGGGCCCCACTTTTTTAATTCTTAAACCTCTCTCCCCTCACCTTATGGCCAGCCCCATTAATGGGAATTTTCTCTCTCCCAATTAACTCCTAATCACCACTAAATCAGCCCCAAATTCCCCTCCATTACCGCCCCTCTTCCCCTCTTGGATTTGATTTGAATTTTCAACATAAATCCTTTCCCCAAACGTCTAGAATTTGAAATTACTCCAGATTTCCTGCAAGCACCTATTGCTCTTCCATCCTAGCCGATTCCCCCAAGACTTCACGCCGGCCACCGACGTCCACCCTCCTTTCTCCTTGCTCCCGTCTTGATCCTCCATCTCCCGGCAAATGATGCATGGCGGATCCCGAAGTTGATAGCGGATTCGTGTTCGACGTCTACGGAGACATCCACATCGTTCGATCACCATTCTTCGACGTCGGGTTTGGTTTTGACGACACCATTGAAGATTACTTGAACCGAATCATCCCCACCCTCGTGGACGTCATAGACGATCAATTCTCGGACTACGAGTGGACGATCAATCCTCCCCACCCTCGTGGAAGTCATCGGAGAGGATTGTATTCAAAAAAGAGATGAGAACTTATAAAAGGAGAAGTCATTGGAGTATTGATGGATTTTAGTTAGAGGGAAGTTTTAGGGTAAGCCAATGTAGATCGAAAGTTTGAGGAGTGTTACCATAGCTTTGATATCATGTTAAAGGAGAGAGAGAATTAAAAATTATTATATCTTTGCTGGATTGTCGTCTTTGTACAAACATATATGCCCTTATGAATAGGCAAGAGAAGATAACAATAAGATAATATATAATTAAAAAATATATCTCAAATAATGAGAAAATATAATGATAATAAATAGTGTAAATTTTTTTTTATATAAATAGTTAACATATGTGAGAATTGATATATAAGAACAATCTAATATTAATATTAAATCCCATATTCTAAGATGCTCTTTCATGAACCATTTTATAAGACAAGCCCAGCTTAAGTCTGTCAAATTGGAAAATCCATACTTTAAGATGATTAAACTTGATTATTTTGTGAGAAAAGCACAAATTAAGACTGTAAATTAGGAAATCCACCAAATAAAATTACATTTCGGAAACTACTTTGTTTGAAGCATATAAGCATCAACACACATTCAGATAAACAATCTTGTCTTGAAGTATGTGGCGAATTTTCCCTCTCAACTTTTTTGAAAGTGCCCAATTCCAACGGGTTCTTCCCATTCTATTTTCAAAACAAGAAGAGCAAGCAATGCATGTTCACATTAGCATTTATGTTTTGTAGCTTGACCACGCAGCCCTAACATTTTATAGGATAGTAAAAGAAATATCAAGAAAATGAGAATTTTCTCACATGCAATAGGAGAGACCTGTAACACTCAATTATGAAAAATATGAATGCATGATAAAACTGCTACAAAAACATTAACATTTTAGCCAAGAATGTTTAGAAAGAACATAGCATGAATACCTTTGCAGGTTTGATGAGGTTGGTCGGAAGGAAGTCGAAAGGATTTGCATTAATAATCCTTCTTTTAATGCTACTTCCTGAAGTATGCGGGGAGTTAGAGCAAAACAACTTCTTAATAGGAAGAGCTGGCTTTGGCAATGAATTTTTCACAGAAGGCGATGCATCTTTCATACTTCCTCCAGAAACTACATGCTTCTTTTTAGCCTCGTCCTTGCTACTAGAGGAAGTAGCAGGTCCTGCCTGTAATTCTAGCACCAAGCATGATCATCAATGGCAGGAAAGTATAAGTAAATCACCAAATCTTTATGTAATGCTTTTGGCCATGTATGATAGGTTGTAGGTTAAATAGTTTGAGCAAGAGATGGATACTTTTTGGGTGACCCCCTGATGGAACTTGAGTTGCAAAATTCGGAATCCAGGAAAAACAGACCAAAAATAGTGGAAAAATGGAAGATTTCTTGGATGAAAACACTCACAAACACTTCGATTACTTAAATATCAAAAGACTTACAAGTTTCCACGGATACAATGCTCTCGATTCGAGAAGAGAAGCTTTCTCCCAAGCCCTAGATTAGAAAAACCTAAAACAGCCACCAAAACAAGATGCCTCCAAAACAAACCCTAACTCCCCTTTAACCCTCACATGATCCCCCCCAAAATACCCTAATTACCCCTAGGGAAAACAAAACAAACTCCCTCTTACACCGCCTCCTCCCTCTCCTTCGGCCGAACGCCCAGGCGGGCGTTTTCTCCGCCTGCAGTAGGCGAGAACCGGCCCCTTGTGGGCCGGTGCGGATGCGGGATGGACCGGGCGGTCCGGTCCTTCACCCCCACATCACACCAACCCTTTTTCTATTTTTTTTTCTTAGAGAAGCTAGAAAAGGTGAAATCAAATCCTGAGAACAAGGTATCAAACATTTAGGCTTCGTTTGGGACGAATTTCTTACTGCTTCTTAAAGCGGTTTTTTAGTACAAAAATTAAAGTTTTTTAACTAAAAAGCCGTTTTAAGAAGCAGAAAAAAAGTTGTCCCAAACGAAGTCTTAGTTAATAATACATGTTGAAAGAAAATCTATGATAGGATTAGCATAAATGATTTTCAAGACGGTGATAATCTATGAAGAGGATATCTTCGCCATTTGCACTTTTAAGTGCTAGTTTCTTTGACTCCGGTGATGTTAAGCTAGAAATGCAACAAATGGATAACAAAAAACATTGAATAAGATGAGGAGAAAACCGTCAAATGCATAACCTTAGGAAGGGAATAAAATTCAAACAGAGGCTGATCAACAAACCTATCTGACATATGTAATTTGTTTGTGGTCAGCTCAATCTCTTAAAAGCAAAAACCAAAGTGAACTCTTTGTTTGTTAGTTCTTCAAAATAAAAAAGATTTTCTGAAAAAAAAAACTAAAAAAGATTTTTTGAAAAAATGCAAAATAAGATGTTTGCAAAAAAGATATATATAGTTTTGCTAAAAAGAATACAAAAAAGATGTTTTACCCTAAAAATTTAAACATGGCAATTTAATAAACTGTGCAATGAAGGAAACATAAATGTTGAAAGAATGATCAAATTCCAATGCAATTATAACTCCAATTACACCTTGCAATTACCCCATCCTAGCCCTCTAGTCGTCTCAGAGCAGCTGGCAACAAAGCCATCAACATAAAGTGGGTTTGAATGAAAATGAGGGCTTCAATCCAAGCCTTCCAAGCTAAATGAATAGTAGGGATGAGGATAACTGTTCAGCCCATTTAACATGGAAATTGAATTTAACCCTATTTCAGAACAACTAGCTCAACAAATGCAAATCGAACTTAACAGAATTCCATAAAAATTATGAAGCTTTAATTTAAATGGCTTACTCATGCCTTCTTTACCTGGTTTTTGGGATCCAGTTTCCCTTTCGACGAACCAACCTTCTTGGGTAGCTCAATCTCATTACTACTTACATTTACTTTCCCATTTGAAGCTTGACCTTCAACACCTGAACTCTTCCCATTGCTTCCTAAAATACCTTGCAAGTACCTAGAAGCCACCACTGCTTTCTCCTCCTTAATAACCAATCTCTTTCTCAGGATTTCTTCATTCCTCTCAGAGGATTCAGTCTGCTTGGTATTCACTTTTTGAGGTGATAATAAATTCTCAGAAATATCAGAAGGCACCATCATTTGCATCAGATCCTTGGGGCTCCCTATACACGGATTCCGCCCCGGGAGTGGCCTAACCCCAACTAAAACAGGAACCGGAGTTCCCGACGCCACTTTGTTGACATAAACGAATTGTCCAAGTTGCAATTTATTTGTTAATATAAGCTCATTGTCATCCTTGGATAGGGAAACATATGTGGAGTGTGAAGAATCTGAAACCTTAATGAAGAAGCCATGATCTGGCCAGAACTCTGAGCCGGTGATGGCCGGAACAATGCTGATGACCTGCAGCAAAATTGATCTATGCTCTCCACATATCTTCACATCAGAATTCACATTCTTGAGAAGTTTGATCAGTACTCCTGGTGTGAGAGAAGCCATTTTCCCTCTTTCCACTTTGCTACCCTTTGCTCAAATAAAAGCAGAAAGCATAGAAATTTGGTAGATATACTAACTGAATGTCAGTAAAATAAATAAAGACAATGCATTGAACCCATTTTGGACGATTATTGATTATGCAAAAGAAAACAAATAGGATTCCAAGATAGAAATTGAAAGCCACCTTTATAAAGCACATTAATTAGTATAAACAGACCATTATATATACGAAGACAAAGCATGTTCATAAAACAAAGAAATATCAATATCCAAGGAAATGGTTGAACAACTCTGTACTAGATTTACCAATATGCTTAAAGAGGGGGGAAAATCATTTTTCTTCCTTTTCATGAATAAAAATTCTTTCAATCACCACTCCCAAGCCATAATCAGATGGTAAAGACCAATGAGAAATGAACAAAACAATTTGTTTTGCATTAATCTGATAATTGGTAAAATAACTTAAAACAAAAGCTAAAGGACGCCAAAATGGCTTATAGTTGAAGCAAACCTAGAAGGGGGTGAGAAATCATTAGTTAAGTAAGAAATCATTAGTTACTAGGAAGATACTGCAGAGAATAGCTAAAATTTGAACTTCGAAGGACACAAGAACAAAAAGAAAAAAATTTCACAAAAAACTGAACAAATGAACACAAAAAGACAGGAAGAAGAAAGTTAGCAATGGCGAAGTATTACCTTTGAAGACTGTCGTAAGAGTTCTTCTTCTTCTTCTTCTTCTTCTCATGGGCGCGGAAGTTGGTGGCTTGACTTGGCGTGGCATCCCAGTTTTTTCTAAGCATATCGGCATTGCCGGGCGGAAGGTAAGCACCGGCTTCCCGTAACTTTGAAGCTACAAGTCCGGGAAAGGCCCCGCCGGGTAGGACTGTGGCCGCGTGTTACCATAATACCCCCTCACCTTTCTGAATGGATTAATTATTCTTTGATAATCTTAGAGATTCAATTTGCTACCTAAATCATTCAATGTATACGAATGATTAAAATTGAATTTATTAAATTTAGAAAGATATCTTATGAGAAATGATAGATTCAATGGCAGATATTCAAAATATATTTAATTGGTTGTATGAATAAACTGTAATACTGTATCATCATGATAGCAATTAAATATATGAAGTTAATGAGTAGAATAAATAAACTAAATTATAATTATCATGATAGGTACATAGGGTCTATGTTCAGTCTTAGAAGCAAAGCATGATAAATTTATAAAATGAGAATTCGCTTAACAATTGTTAAATTTCAATAAATTTATAAAATTATATATATATATATATATATATATAATCCTAGAATATAGTTATCAATTTTTTAGAATAGTTATATGCAATTACTGATAATAAAATCTAAATCTGTAAGCTGTGGTTACAATTCTCTGACTTATAATCTTCTAATTATTATTTTTTTGGTTACACCAACACCCATCTATTAATTTCATCATCTATCGTTGATAAAGCTGCCAAAGCATGACATATATCATTCACTCATGACATCAATGCAAGCAAGTGGCATCAATGCAAACAACTGGTGTCTCTTATAATTCTTGAACTCCTCTCTTATTTGTGTGATTACTATAACTTTGTACAAATACTAAGATAACAAACTTACTAACTCTACCTCCGTAGATATTCTAAAACTCCCAACAAAAAGATCTTAAATCCAAGTCTTAAGAATATGATGTGTGCCTCTGTTTGCTTTAATTTGCTTAAATGTCAGAAAAAAAAAATCTATTTTGAGCTTAGGAAGGACGTAAATGATGGAAGGCTATTTTAGAAAGATCGTGAGTTAGGTTGTCGATTTATATCCGTTCTTCTTCACATCTGCGCACTGGTGAAGGTGTGGTGTCGCAGTCGTGCAGGTGAGAGGTTGCCAGCCTGGTCCGGCTCAGCATGGCTCCGGTTTGATTCGGTCAGCTTTCTCCAGGCCGAATGAAGAAATCTTTCAAATTTCATCTATGCTCATCTGATTGGATGAATATTGAAAGATAAAAGTTATCATCCTTTTTTTTTAAAGAATATGATAGGAAGAGTAACATTTTTATGATATATTATTATGTGTGGAGTTCTGATTCGGAGCTGCATCTAATTTTTGTGAGTGTGAGCAGTCAAAACATAGTGGTGCACAGTAACTGTGCTTTTACTACGCTTTTACTGTGCACACTCACAAAATCTAGATAGTTCTCTGATTTGAATTCCACACGTAATAATCTCTCTAATTTTGCACATGCATATAATCAACCGAATCTAATGTTAACTTCCCCAAGAATCTTCACCCTGTAGTTGAGCCTTGAATGCTTGAACAATCTTTATTAGTTAATTCTATGTTAGACTAAGAAGGGGGTATTCTCATGGATTTTTTTATGAGGTCATAAAATATTTATATAATCAATAAGTTATCTCAACATAATACACATATCTCTATAATAATAATAACAAACTTTTATACCATTGTATGAGATTAGTTACATGAATTCTTTTTCTCTATTGTATTCTATTCATAGTCAATTTCTCATTTAAAACTAATTAAAAAAATTATTTTTAATACTTTTTTAACTTTTTAGATTTATTTCTACTTTTCTTAACATAATGCTCACATCTCTAAACAATTAAAATGAGCTGAATTTGCTCTTAACATTGTTGAAATTGATCAAATAGGAAACTAAACAAGCTCGAATCAATGCGAAACCTCTTAAGCAAAATCCAATACATCATGTAAAGTCCACACGCACTTAAAATCATTTGGATTAGGGCTGTGAAACTAATCTGTTCATGTGGCGACCTTATTTTGCCACATTTTGGCATAGCTACGAACAATGAAATACGATGAATTATTCTGTCTGGACACCAGACAGAAAGAACCATCGGTTTGTCTCTATGAATAAGAAAGAACCACGCGGTTTGTCTCTCAGATTATTCATTACGCTTTTACTATTCACAGAGACAAAACTGAACAATTCTTTTAGTCTGATGTCCACACAGAACAATTTCTCATGGAATAATTGGAGAGCCTTGGTATCAATGTTTAGATGACTTACCTAGCTTTTTCTTGGTGCCAGTGACATATCAATCACTCTAATGTGTAAATCATTTATCAGTTTTTAAAATTTTGAAATAATGGATAACCAATATTCAATCATTTCATGAAAACTTTTCAATGGCATACTCTTCTCAATAAGTGGAACTAATTTGTCAAAAAGAGATAAAACATTTTCTCTATTTCCTAATGAACTCCATTATTATTAATTATATCGTGGCATTTAATTTTACAACATGATATATTTAAATAATTGAATAAATTTTTTAGTACAAAAATTTATTATGCAAATTTATTTTTCTTATCTATGATAAAAGTATGATATGAATAAAACATGTTTTTTTTTTGTTATCCAACTCTTCATGAAAAATTTTTATTTCTATGTCGATTAATATATGCATCTTTCAAAAATAAATTAGTATAATTAAATCTCCTTGAACCCTAAATACCCAACCTTAGAAGGTTGATGTCTATGTCCAACCGAATACTGGTTATGCCCTTATTCATGTTGTAGATGTTAATGAGCGAGAAATGAATAATGTGGGTGAGAATGGTGAAATTGGAAATGTTAGTGATTTAAACTTGCAATGTCTTATGGATAATTCTAGGACTGGAATTAATTCCCCGGTTCCATTGGGTCTGCCTAGTTTACAGGGTGTTGGTGATGGTGGTGGCAAGGATTTGGCTCTCATGGTTAGCTCGCCTATGAATCTTAATGCCTCTTCTGCCATTAATGTTACTAATATTGTTCAGGAGGGATGTGAGGGTATGGTTAATGATGTGGATAATTGTTCATCGTTAATTCTTGAGGCTGATCTTCAACCAAATGCCTCTCATGTTCCTGTTGTGTTAGTTTCTAAGGGTATTCATGTGAATCTTGATAATGTGGGTGTGTGTGATGTTAATAGGATTGATGTGTTTGATTCTCCTTGTGGTTTGGTGTCTTGTCCTAGTGATTTTGATGTGGATGAACTAGTTGTGCAACCTATTAAGATTAATGGTGCTAATGTGCTTGTTCTCGATGTCCTTATTTCTCTTATTTCAAAAGATGCTTTATTTGCTCAATTGGACTTGATGCGAATGATATTGTATTGATCATTATGATTAGTTAGAGGGGTCTGTTTCCGCTTCATGTGGTGGTGACTGAGATGAGTTGGATGATCTTGTTAATGAGTGTATGGCTTGGATGTTGGCTGTTTTGTTCCTAAAGTCTTTTCTCCCAGTAGAGGAAAGATGCATGGGAGAAAGTCTAGGAAGAAGTAATTTGGTTTTGTTTTCGGTTTCTTCATTTAGTGTTGTTGTTCCTCCTCTAACCTCAGTTGGGTTGAGCTGTGGGTGGTCCTTGGTTTTTATGTCTATTGTTGTTGGTCCTTTGTCTGTGTTGGGGCTATTTTTGGTGGTTTTGGAGCTTGCATGTGGTCCTATGGGGTTGGTTTTGATTTCGAGCTGGTCTTTTGTTGGTTGTTATGTTGTTTTCTGCATTTTCTCTTGCAGGTGATTTTCTTGTGGTGCTGTGGACAACACATCTTTAATAGCGCGGTTGGTTTCCTGTTCGGTCAGTGGTTCTTCCGGTTGCTGTGGTGTTAATCTTTTTTGTCGTGTGCCTGTTTTTAGTGTTTTTTTTCTTTTTGGTTATAATTGTATAGTTAAAATTATTTGCTCGTAGGTTTTTATTCGAATGTTGTATTTTTAGAGAGCTAAAAACTCTTTAAGGACTTGTAATTTTCCATTTTTCTATTATCGCATAGGCCCCTCTGCATGATATATATATATATATAGGAGTCCCCTTCCCAATAAACATATAATGAAAAAAAAATTATGTATATTTCACATTTTTTTTGATAGCCTTGAAATTACCATATCCTTAAAAGATGAGAAAGAAAAGTCTATCCCCAAAAGATGTACAATCACAAAGAGATCCAAGAAATCATTTATTCCTTACCCCCAACGTAACAAAAAAATTAATAAAAATATTTTAAAAATCACATAATTTCCTATAAACATATTGAGAATGATGAGCTGTCATATACCATGCTGAAAAACAATTTTAAAGAAAGTAGAGGAGATTATAATGTTGATCTCTTAATCTCTTATATTCACATTATGCCACATTTATGTCCATACTATGAAATTGAGGTTAGTATGATGCTTAACTTCCTCGAATACATTTTTTTTTAATGTTTGATCCTCACAATTGGTTATTGCTCTGCTTTTGGTTATGGTTCGATATTGGTTCTATTGTAGGTTTTGTTGAATTTTGCTAGCACTTTCAATTCTTTTTTGCTGATAGCCTTGATGCATATTCATATTCGAGATATTGTGGAACACTCTTGACTGTTAGGCGTGTTTTGTTGGCTGCAGAGTTCTGCATTGGGTACCCATACCCACACTCACCCATGTACCACCCATGTACCCATGGGTATGGGTACGTCTATGGCCTCATGGGTGGGTATGAGTGGGTACTCAACATCAGGGGATAAATCGATTTATATTGCTAATCATAGTATGTCGTATATTAACATAATCCTTACTACGTAGTGCGCAACACTGAA